ATAAGGTCTCAACACATACTCACATATAAACCAGTCTACGAAAATGCAGACTGGCTTTGATACCAAACTGTAACACCCCACTTTGATTTTAAAGAAATTCCGGACTTTCTAAAAATCAGAACAAATTTTTCGAATTCATTTTCGAAATCAAGGGCATTAACCAACACATTTTACTTAGTCCAAGTCTTATCTGGTCCCACGGGGATTCATAAACCCAATTTTCACAAGGTTTTCATTAACCTGATTCACACTTCAACATAATATTCAATATGAACAATTGTAACCTCATAAATCAAACACCATGATTATTCTAGTTTCAAAAAGGGTTTTTTAAGATATTCCCAAACCTCAAAACATAACATAGTTCGAAAACAGTTCTCACATGTCCAAAACATAGATAGGTTCATAACAACCATATTATTAAAGCATAAGCAAAACGAAACAATAAATAGAACACCACTCGTCCTTTGTCCCGTCACTCGACCACTGCTTAACCTACATCCGTGAAGAGCAGGTGGGAATGGGCACAAATGATAAAGTAGTGCTCACTACTATGCACATAATAACATGTAAAGATGGTATGGTCGCAGCATGAATATAAATTAATCATCATCATGTCTCATCTCCTAATAATCACAACAATAACTCACTCATGTGCACCTCTATCATTAGCCGCGGAAAGGGGATGCATAAACCCTAACGACAGGAGTGCGTGCCACTGTAACGGACACGACCTTGCATTAGGTCTTAAGGAGACTTGCCTCGCAAGGGCAACCGTACCGTAACTCGACGGGGACAACCGTATCGACAGCCATAACAGCTCACATCGGTAGGCCACATGGTTCACATTCATACACTGGTCATACCAACTAAACATTAAACAACACGTATGGCATAGACAATTTTATAAGTAAACCCACTTGGATTTCGGATTGACCCTAGCAAATTCAAAAAGGACGTAGGTCGATGCTTGACTCCTCAGACACCTACATTAAGTCAAGATCCTACAATTATTATCTATCCCGACTTAAACGGAAACACAAATCAGACTAAATCGAACTTGGTTCGACTAAGTTATTCATGAAGTCCTGTGGACGTTGGAACACTTAGACTCGACATTATACTCAACCAAATCATACATGGGAGTTCACATAAATAATAGTAATGATTGACCAAGTCCAACAAATAAGAAACAGAAAGTATGCCGATTTACAGTTTTTAACACAAAAATCATATTTCACAATCACTAGCCAATAATCACTAAAATTAAGTTGAACAGGTTGTCCTATGAATTAGACTTTGCAATTTTAACCAAAAATACACTTCCCAATACTTAGAAAAATCACCAAATTTCAGCCTCAAAATCAAAGTACATGATTTTATAAAATTCAAATACGATACCAGCAAAAACGAGCATAAAATCAAAGCCTGACCTAACGAATGAACTAGTATATGAGATTTTTACTGGGGAAAGTTCAGCAATTAAGGATCGACATATAAAAATCCCAGCAATTTACTCCAAATACACAAATAATGAAAATTCTTAAAAATGTTCAGCGGTTTATCGGATTTTAATTAAAACCGAACCAATTCCAACTCCAAAAATTCCAATATTTTTACAGCACGCTAGTACGCATAAAAAAAGCATCTCAGCCAAAAATCAGAATTTTCCAGCAACTAACCAATTTATCAAAATTAAAACACTATTCAGCAGAAACCGTAAACAAATTATTGACAACATATTAAAATTTCATGAATTTTAGAGCACTACACAATTTATTATGAATTTAACATGAATCTGATCAGAATTCATTTTAATTTTTAAAAATAGCTACAGACCACATAAAATTCTGGAATTTTTACACGAGTAATATAGTCACCAGAGACATTTACAGTTAAACTTTCACAGCAATCGGATCAGTATATAACTTATAAAAATTTAAACACTAAAACAGCGAGCATATACGATCATAAATTCATAAACGACTCGATTTACGACGAAATAGTCCTAGATATTCACCATAAGACCAAGGATTCTATAAGGTTCCAACCCACAGCAACTTAATCACGAATTGACGAGGTTTCATTCGATTTTCTCAAAATCGAAGAGCTCGTCTAAACACATTATTATATACATATCACAATAGCACAATTCACAAAATTAAACGAGACAGGGTTCGAGCCTAGGTACCGTTCTCGGGATTAACACACGTCAACGAACGAAACGAAGGCCGAGATGGGCTGTTTGGGGGCCGGGAGTACGTAAGTCGGGCTCGACAATGTTGTTTGGATCGCCGACGGTCGACTTGCTCTTGTCTGCGGGCGTTGGACAACAACACGAGTTGCACGAGCAGCGGTACATGGTCTGCGATACACGGCCAGACGAGACAAATAGGGCCTGCGATCGGGAAAAGAGGTGCTCGAGCCTTCCCTACGACACGTCAACGGAGGGCTGCCCGCTGGGAGAATTCTTTCGTGAACAGAGAAATCCCGCACAGGTGGTCCCGGTGATGAACTGAGGGGACGGCGTGCGATCAGAGGGTTGGAGCTAATCACACGATGGGGCCTGTAGTGCACGCGAACAGGGAGAAAACGTCGCTGCTGGACTCGGGAAAATCTCAGGCGTGTTGCTGCCTCTGTCGTTGGAGAAACTGCAGGTCTGGTGCGTCTCGACGGGGCTGGGATGGTGGCGGTTAGGGGCGTGAAGTGGCTACTGCTGCTTGATGTCGGGCCGCTGGTATTCTGTGGCCAATCGGCGATGGCTTTCTGCGGGAATAAAATACACTGGGACTCATCGGCTTTATTCGGCCCTCCGACGGAACACGACGGGACTCAACAACTACGCTCGTCACTCCGACGGGACTCGACGGGACCCGACGGCTAAGAACGGTGGTCCAGTGATTGCGATGGAGATGTTGTTCACGGAAAGGAGAGCTTCTCGCCAGAATGTCCGGACTTGCTGAAGGGCAAAGCTTCTCTCTCTCGCCGGAATTGGGAGCAGCGGGACTTGCTGGTTCACACGGGAGTGACGGTTGCGCGATGATGATGAAGAATTTAGCAGGTTTCCTTCTCTTTCTATGCTCTGTTTTCTCGAATTTTTTTTTTTTGAAACCGAGAGGGAGAGGCGAGAGATTGATGATGGTGATGAACTGATGTGGTTTCTTCTCTGATTTCATGTACCAAAGAATCGCAACAGATTTCACGTGGAGAAAGAACCGGTCGCTGGGAGAAGGTGAAGGAAAAATCTGTTCATTTGCACGTGATGCAAATTAATTCTCCACATTGGGCCAAGGCAATAAAGAACAAGAAGAAATTGGGCCTATGGACCAAATAACATTGGGCTGGAAACAATTTAAAAAGAAGCTGGAAGTACACAACTGGGCCAAAGTTTAATTATCCGAATGGACCGAAAATACTGTCGAGAAATCGGGTCAAAAATAAATATACGCGATAACAAGGATTCCCGATCGATTCGATTGACGACGAAATAAATTGAATAATACGACTTAATATATTAATTAGATTACATCTAATTAAATAATAATAAGTCTAAATCGAAAGATATTAAGCAATAATACAATATAGACAATTAATTCCAATAATGATAATAATACCAATAAATGAAAATAATACGAAAAATTCATAAACAAACGGATATATATATATATATATAATACACATTTTTATTTAATTATAATATTAGGCAATTAGACAAGTAATGTCAAACAATTATGCAATAATAATAATAGTAATAATTAATCAAAATAAAGTAATTATCCTCAAATAATCCATAATCAAACGGGGTATTACACCTTAAGGTCCCTAATGGAGCCTATAAATACACCATGTCCCAATCTCTCCTACAAGTAGATGTTGGCCGATTTTCTCACCTACATACACGAGAGAAATATCATTGTTCGAGAGTTAGGGAGATTCGATCAAACGCTCCACCAAGTTTAATCGAAGTAGGTGTTTAGGTAATCCGTTAGAAGGCTTTTGGGTACAATTTATTCGAGCTTTTATATTTATATTTTCCGGCCATCATCATCCTATCACCGCTGCCCATCGCCGCCGTGATCCACCGCCAGAAAACACCCATCGCTGCCGGTCGTCGTCCAAGCCCAGCCACGCGCAGCCGAACGCTTCTGCGAACAGCCGCGCAT